CGACCCGAAAGGAGAAGCGTCCATAAAAGAAGAAGATGGTGATATAGCTGCGATTAATTTCGAAGCCTACGATGGGTGGGAGGGGCAATGGCGCAATTGGCTATTAGTTTACCTTGCGCCTTTGAGGTACCCAGTTCGATCCAGCGCTCGGCGTAAGTTTGTTCTTAACTGTTAATTCCCTTGAACAGCGAGTTCACGCCACTGCGCTTTGGTGCAACCAACTAAAACATTGGCGGCAGGCCGTCGACCTGCGAATAGTCGAGGCAGCAAGGTGTTTTTTAGAGGTGACATCAAAATGCGCGAGTCAAACGGCCATGCATCCTTGCGGCTGCAGTTCGCGTTGCATCGTCTGATTACTAATAAAGTTCAGCACAAGGTGTTAACATGGATTTTGAAAACTAGAATTTGTGCATTATAAAATATATTACACCAGATGTGTGGACTTTCGCGACTTCGCCGGCATTTTCTTCAGAGAAACTCAGTTTTCCGCGAAACTAAATTCACTTAGCAGAATACGGTATGCCCTCGTATCATCGACCACATTCATTCACTTTTCGCCTTTACTACCGACCGTTAAATTGCTGATGCGCATCAAGAGTAACTTCGATGACCGCTGGAGACAATTGCGAAGCACTATTGAAAGCTCTCGAAAATGGCAGTCGTTTTCTTGGACAAAAACGTTCAAGTGTAGTTCTATTTTAACCATTGTTTACGTCGAAACAGCCCTAGCCAAGTATCCTTTTGTCTTCACAGGCATAGGAGTATATTAATATAAATATAATACTTTTCGCTACTTTTCATATTGACGCTTTGATGACCTACTGGATGCAGCAGTTTGCACAGTGATTTCTTTGATTCCATTTTTAGCCGTCAAATATTAATTTTCAATTGCTTCTTGGTTTGAAAGAACAGTTTATCTAAATATTAAAAAATTAGAAGTCTTGTGATAAAGCAGTTAGAGACAGAAAGAGGATGTACCAAAATTTTACGTTCTGAGTCACAGTACTAATGCTGTGAATAAAGCCCTTTATTGATTATAACATTACCGAAAAACCTCCTGTTAAGACGATTTAATTTTTCT